TTTTTTTTTTTTTTTTTTTTTTTGGGGGAATGACATTGTGAATTAAAAATTCATACTGCAACAGTCGAGAATTGTTCAGTTGGCCAAAGATGAGAGGTCCTACCATATTTTTTATCAGCTGTGTTCCGGAGCTCCCACCGGTCTCCGAGGTTTGTTTAAGTTTTGTCCAGTCCGTGAATTACCTTTTCATTTCTTATTTACGATTATCACATATTCATTTTACTTTGGGGATTTCATTTTGTTGATGTTTGGGGCATGGTTTGAGTATCTTGTAATAGTGTTTTCATGCATGGAACTCTCTCTCCCTCTCCCTCTCTCTCTCTCTCTCACCCCCTTTTTCTCTCTTTCTCTCTGAGTGTGCTCTCGCACGTGCAGGTCTGTTTGTGTTTTAAATATTTGTTGAACTACTAGAACACACGAACTAGTTATGTTTGTTATTTAAATGTATTTCCAACTATGCCAGAGGTATGCATAAAAAATTCCATTTGCTTAATAAATTTAGATGAAAAATCTGACATACAAAAGTGGGCATACCATTTTTTTTTCATCCGTTGCAGTTCTTTCAACCTCGTCGGTTAGAACACTGGCTTTTGTTTGACTAGTACATCCTCTCAATTTTAATTTATTTCATTGTAAGAAATGTAAGACTTATTAAATGATTCCTTCTTCAGATAGGTTGAGGTTAAAAAGGGCATCTCACTACAAGTATCTCAATCAAGGTGATTGCTTGGAGATCGACAACATTGATGATGCTCAGAAGTTTCACGTTCTTATGGTACTGGTGACATCACTCACACATGTGTTATGCATTTTATTTTACATATGTCACTCTTTCCTCTGTTGCATATGAAGAAGTTTGAATATTAGGCGAGGAAATTCTCCTGCTTCTGTCTGATTAAAAATATTGAGATTAAAGATAAAGTTAAGAATTCTGTGCTTTCTAATGCATTTTCATTTCTATTACGAAGTTCTATTAACTCTGATCTTTTTTGTTGCACTAGGGAGCCTTAGATACCTTCAAAATTTGCAAAGAAGACCAGGAGAATGCGTTTGAGATGCTTGCAGCGGTGTTGTGGCTAGGAAACATATCATTTTTTGTAACTGACAAGCAAAACCACATAGAGGTTGTAGCTGATGAAGGTACCTCAAAATGTTCTTGGACAGCTTTAGTGTTATGGTGATTTCAATCTGCTTTGAAACAGTTCAAGGTGGAATAAACAATTTAGCTTGAGTGGATTTCTGTTAATTTACCAATAATTTTGACATCATTGATAATCTTGAGTAGCAGACTTTTCTTTTCGAGCATGTTGGGCTTCTTTAGTTTCTGTGTACCAAATAACATTATCTTTAGTTGCGTTGATTGAACTAATAGTCTAATAAATGATTTTTTTTTTTATTTTTTTTTTCTACAGCTCTCACCAATGCTGCTAGCATGATAGGTTGTGCTGAGCAGGACCTAATGCTTGCTTTATCAACCCGGAAAGTAAAAGCTGGAAAGGATGAAGTCACCAAAACTCTGACCCTACATCAGGTTAGCATTTTTTAATATTCTTATTTCATGGACAGCCTATTCCAAAACTACACAAATACATCCCTTGGGTCCTTCCCTCTTTCGCCACATGCTTGAATGGTTAACGAAAACATACTTCTCCTGGTGCATGCACATGCCACTCACTCTAGGTCGTCTTTGTTGATGATGTGATGTTATTACCTCTTACTTAGGCAGTTGATACCAGAGACGCATTGGCGAAGTTTATCTACTCGAGCTTGTTTGACTGGTTGGTCGAAAAGATCAACTTATCACTAACCATGGGCATACATGACACCAGAGGAGTCATAAATATTCTCGATATATATGGTTTTGAATCTTGTAAGGTAAAATATTGCTGACTTTCATAATATGATATAACTTTGTCTCACTCTAATTTTTCTCCTTTTGCTTTCAATCTCGTTCCAGAAAAATAGCTTGGAACAGCTTTGTATAAATTATGCTAATGAGAAGCTCCAGCAGCATATTGCTCGGCATCTCTTCAAACTTGAGAAAGTGGTAAGCATGATATACACTCATCTTAATGAGTGAAAGTAGTTCATGACTGCCAGTTCATGCTTTCATGGGCCTAAAAAATTTACTTGAGTAAGTTGTCCTTGTGTTATATTTCTGTGAAAGGGATAACCACCAAAAATTTATGGCTTACAACCTATATAAGCAATAAACTTAATGCAAAGTGTTAGTTGATGTTCTCTCATTGAGCATGACCTGTTTTATAACAACTCTACTTGAACTGTTGTTGTGATGCCTGCTGCAATATTTTTTTTTTTTTTTTTGTTTGCAGGAGTATGAATTAGATGGAATTGACAAGACAAAAGTAGAATTTAAAGATAACCAAGATTGTTTGGATCTGTTTGAGAAGGTACTTTTTTTTTTTTTTAAAATATACCATTGACCCATTTACAAGAATCTTGATATGTAGTGTTATTTCTGCTGTTAAGTTGGAGGTTCCTCTCTCAGAGTATCTAACCAACTTTTAATGATCAGATGTTATTAAAATCTATCTTGGGTGAAAGGGCTATTATTTCATCTAGAGCAAGCTCAAATTGTCTTAAATTTAGAAACTATTGATGGACACTCGTTCTCATATTTCACTTGCATAAATTTCATTTTTCTATGCAAATATGCTTTCAGATATTACTTTTAACTCTTAGTGTTGTGTATGACGGTTAGAGCATAGAACAAAAATGAAATTCTGTTGGAGAGATGAAATATGACCAAGGTATATCTTTCTTATCAGAGGTTGAATCGTCATCAGAAGAAGAATAGGCCAAAACTTAGGATAAATTTTGGGAAAATCAAACTTATTGAAGAGAAACAAATGAAAGGCTTTTATAAAAATTCTCGTAGAATCGAGAATGAAGTTTTAATTCTGTCCATGCCAGATCATGAATTAGTAACTGCAACCAATTTTTATTTTTTATTTTTTATTTTTTTTTGTTTTGTTTTGATTATTTTCCTTTTCTGCATCCTGTAACTGTTGTGCTTCAACAGAAACCTGCTGGGCTGATATCTTTACTGGATGAAGTATCAGATTTTCGCAAGGCTACGGGTTCAACCCTTGCTGCTAAACTTAATCACAATTTAAATACTAACCAATACTTTAAGGAAGAGAAATGTGGAACATTCAGCATTCGCCAGTGTGCTGGAGAGGTTAGTTTGACTTCTGGTCCTTTCTGGAATCTTTACAAGCTCTCTGATGAATGGCAACACTACAAGATTCAATCATCATTGGAATTTCATTTAGTATTTTCCTATGTACCTTCCATATTATGTGTTAACGTACACTTGTAAACAATTCTGTGTGTGTATCTCATGATATGTATGTAACTGCATTTTCAGGTTATTTACGACACGTGGGAAATCTTAGAAAAGAATAGAGACCTAGTGGCTTTGGATACAATTCATCTTCTCTCGTTGTGCTCTGCCCAACTTCCTAAAAGTTTTGCTTCTTTGCTGCTCAACAAGTCCCAACATCAAGAAAGTAAACTGACGCAATATGGCATGTTAGCTTGCCAGAAGCAACATGTTGCTACCGGATTCAAGGTGCTGAGGCTTGTTCTTTCCTCATTTAAAACACCTTTCCTTTCCCTCCTAACCAGTGTTGTCAAATTTTCGCCATGTGCGTGGCGGATTTCTGCCCAAATGCCATTAGAAATTTGTGAAAGATGGCAGTTAGGAGGCTCCACAGGCCTCCATGACAGGGAACATGGCTGGATTTCTGCCTGCCGTGGTTTTCCGCCATTGATAAGTGATATCATTGCTCCTCACACAAAGACATACACACAGCAAACTGCAATCTGCATCAAACAAAAGATCCCTAAAACTTTTTAATTGTCTGTGTAATTTTTCAAAGTTTTCAGGCAATCTGCATGATAAAGTTCTCATATTTTCGAAAACTTTCCTTGAATGCTGCAGGCTCAGCTGTTTGAATTGGTGCAGCATCTTGAAAGAACAAAACCTCACTTCATTCATTGTATAAAGCCAAACAGGAAGCAGACTCCTGGTCTGTTTGAGAAAGACCTCACCTTGGAGCAGCTTCGATACTCCTGGATTCTAGAAGCTGTTCGGATTTGGAGGTATGGGTACCCCATTCGGATGACCCATCAAGAATTTGCTGAAAGGTGGAGTGCAGTATCTTAGTTTCCATTTATTTAAGTAAAAATTCAGAACTTATCATACCATGTTGGCGTTACTTTAGGTACGGGGTCTTACTCCCAGACAAAATTGCCTTTCAAGATCCCCTAAGTATGTCAATAGCTATTCTGCAGCAGTTTGGCATCCGTCCAGAAATGTACCAAGTTGGTTATACAAAGTTATACTTTCGGGCAGGCCAAGTGAGTCATGAGTGTGTAAACTAAATATTCACATTTCTGCAAAGATTTTACCGGTTTTGTCCATTTCAATACCCTTTCTGGATCCCTTTCTCTCCAAACAAAAGAAAGAAAAAAGATCCTCAGTTGGTCTTATATTCATCTGTGTTGGTATACAGATTAGTCCCCTGGAAGATGTTAGGAGGCAAGTTCTACAAGGTACAGTTGAGGTGCAGAAGTTTTTCCAGGATCAAAGTCGTAGAGACATCCATATACTCAAAAGGGCAGCAGTAACATTGCAATCATGTGAGTTCAGAATCGAATGTTTTGTCTCGTCCTTATAAGTTGGTCATCTCTTTTTTGAAAGTGATCAAGTGAACAGAAAAATACTCCTGCTCTGGTAGTTTTTGTGCAATCCATGTTAAAATATCGACATGAGGTTATCTACTTTTTTGTAACAGTTTTTGAGATTATCTACAGTTTTTGCTTTGTTGCTCATATTTATGAGTTTGACTTCGTAATACTTCCTGCTCCTTTTGTTGAGAATTAAAGCCCGCATAATTCAGAGAGAACTCGTGCATATAATTCCCAAGACACAGATTGTGTTCCTTAACTGGAAAAATTACATTATATTTCTTATATTTCAAATCAGGATCAACTAGGTCTGAATTGAAGTGTTGGATCAAACTCTAATTTGACTAATCTTGATTTGTCTAAAGAAATAAAGTGAACAAGAAATACTATTCTAAACAAAAATGAGCTACAGGAGGTAATGAAGCAAGGGATTAGTGTGAAACGTTGGGGTTGTGTTTGTTATATATACAGCTCCCTAAAGCTATTAGTTCAATTTTGTATTACCACGTTGTACGGTGACAAAATATAAAATCTGCAGATGTTCGTGCTGAAATTGCAAGGAAGGAGTGCAGTTCACTCCTGCAGAAAAGGCAGGCTGCTCGTGAGAAGATGGATGAGCACCTAATTGCAGTTGTGCAGATACAATCTGGTAAGCATTCTTCTTCTTCTTCGTCTTCTTCTTCTATTATTATTGTTATTTTTTTATTTTGTGTGTGTGGGTGTGTGTGTCTCGAGGTGCTCAATAAATACAACATGTTGGTTCCTCTTGTGAAGCTGACGTTCTCTTGTTCTGTGCAGTAATTCGTGGATTTTTGGCCCGAAAGCATTTTAGCCATCCCAGGAGTTCACAGCAAGTAAATGTCAGTAAACCTAAACCAGGCAGTAAGATTCCTGAAATCAAGGTGAACACTTTTCATTCATATTCACTTACTTATTTTTTGTTTCCAATTTTGACTCGTAATTCTACATGTGGGTATTTCTTTGTTCTTCTATTTCCTCAGTTTGTATGGAATATAATGATGATTTATATGTGGTTAGCAGGATCAATCATCTAAAAAATTACCTCCGGTTGTCGAAGAACTTCAGAAGCGGATATGGGTAGCCGAGGCAACAATAGGACACCAGGAAAAAGAGAATGCAGCTCTGAGAGAGCAGGTAAAACAATTTGAGGCACGCTGGTCGGAATATGAAGCCAAGATGAAAACCATGGAGGACATGTGGCAAAAACAGATTGCATCTCTACAGGTGAGTTTGTCTGTTGTTCTAACATACAATTTGCTAGAGGAAACATTGAGACCATCTGATCCTAACCCAACCCATTTGATGGTCCCTAAAATTAAATCATATGGAGAAAAAAAAGAAAAGGGACGATAATAGATTATTTTGGGAAAAAAATTGTCTCAATAGTAGTGATAAAATAAGTGGTGAAAAATTTTTGGGTGGAAGAATGAATTATTATTTTTGTTTTTGAATGGATATGAAATAAATACAATGATTAAAGTTGATGTGATTAAAAAAATAATAAATAATAAAAGTTGATGTGATATAAAAAGTAATAAATAATAATTTTAAATGATTGACTGGTAAAAATATGTGAGTTGATGAATAGTGCATTTTGTTGCAAAATGTTTAAGTATTGATTGACTTATATTTTTTAATTGATTTGATAAAATTGAGGATAAAAAAGTAGGAGTAGATGACAAGTAATTTTTTGGAATTTTTTTTTATCCCATCACATGTTGAGTAAATACAAAAAAAAA